GAAAGTTCGACGGCGCCCTCGTCAAGCGACTTCGCCCCAAGATGCCGAGGCCCCCCCTCCAGACCCAGATGGGGCACGGTGAATGACAAAAGGGCCATGCCGGAGGGAGTAGCACAGGAGGTTCACGCTTGTCCCAGCTTTTGGACCGCGCCGACAGGGCCGGCCGGCCTCGGGCCTTGGCGGCCTCGTTGAACAGCTTTTTTGGAGAAGATGTTTCTGGGTGACGAAGACTATGGCGGCGAGGAAGGCGTAGATGACGCCGACGAGCTCGCCGCCGTAGGCCGTGTGCTTTGCCGGAGCCAGGCGAGCATGACGCCCCAGGGTCAGCGGCACGAGCGAGAGGTACGTGTTGCGCGAGTAGCGGATGTTGAAGACGAAGCGGTAGGCGAGGACGGTGAAGAGGGGCGAGAGCCCCTTGATGGTGTGGACGAGCGACACGGGGATCTTGGAGGTGGCCGAGGAGCTCAGGAGGTGGCCGATGATCTGAAAGGCAGCGAGGGGCGCCGTCGTCCTGATGACGTCGTGGGTCGGGTATCGGATGCCGTGCTTCAGGGCCGGGATGCTGGTCTTCAGCCGGGGGAAGACGGAGGCGAGCCAGGCGAACAGCAGGCAGTAGGTGGCGACAAAGGCGAACTGCACGAGGGTCAGGGTGGCCGGCTTGTCGAAGGCCGTCAAGATGGACTTGGAGGATGTGTTGGTCAACGCGGACGAGGCGTACCACAGCAGGCAGAGGATCTGTCAGAAGGGGCGCTGGGTTAGCTGCCTGCGTCTTTCCTTGGTCGTCTCGTCATCAGAATCGAGGGATGGTTCGGGGGGGGGGGCAGCAACGTACGACCAAGGTGGGCGAGACAGGCGCACGCAGGGCGTCGGCGATCTCGTGTGCGTTCTGGCTGACGCTCCCCTGCCTAGAACGGATGGTGCGAAAGGCGTCGCTGAGGCTCTTCTGGCGACCGTGGCCGCCGCGGGCGTGCGGCGTGACGGGCGGTTGGCCTGGCTGGCCTGGCTGGCCTGGCGGGCCGAAGCGGACACGGCTCTCCCTTCGCGGCTGCCAGTTGTCGCGCGGTCCGTCGAGGCCGTTGGCGCTCGCATAGCCATGGCCCCGCGCCGGACTGGTGCCCCGAGACGGCAGGCTCGTGGTGAGGTGGGCGTCGATGTGGTCGGGGAACTTTTCCATGCCCTCGGATGGCGCCCGGCTGTGGGCGTCGACGTGGGCTGTGGACAGCGTAAAGGATCGGTTGAGCGAGGGGGACCGTCTTGCGGAGGCGCTGTTGGGATGGTGGGCGTGAGAATGAGGCATGGCGCGATACGCGATGCGTCCTTGTCGTGGCGAGTGTGTCGTGTCTTATCGCATTCCAGGGGTCAGAGTGGTGGAGAATGCCCGGATGGAGCCAGACGGAGGAAGAGAGAGAGACAGAGAGAGAGAGAGAGAGCCTGAGCTAGTTTCGGCGGCGGCCACACAGAACGAGTGACTGAGGGGCCAGCAGGCAGGAAAGCGCAAATGATGGCAATGGCGGTGATCAGGACATGGTGGAAGGGTCGGCGGGAAGACAAGAGGTACGGGCACACGACGGGATGATGCGCAACAGTCAAGGTGTGCAACGTTGTAGGGGTACAGATGCTGGCGATTGTCTCTCCTGCAAACGAGTTCCACTTTGGTCGGCTCAGGATACCTCGTAGGAGGAATACCTATCTTTCTCAGGGGGGGCAGCAGCCCGTAGCTTGGGGGGCTCTAGTGGGCTTGCTTAGGGGCTTGGGGGGCAGTAGGCCCAGCACGTCCTGGCCCTGGAGCAGGACCCTTGCCTTAGTAGGCTGCTCGTGGCCCTAGTAGGTGTGGTACTGACACAGCCTGGATACACGTATCAGTTCGCACCTTGGTGCAGGCACCCTCTGTCTGTACCTCGAAAAAAAGAAAATGAATAAAAAGTAGGAAAAAAGAAAAAAAAAAAAAGGCGACCCTGGAGGTCTGGCCAACGTACAGGCTGACCCTCGACTGTTCTTCGGCCGATACACGGTGATCACAAGGCAGAAGACCCGAGTCGACATCTATGCCAATGTACCTAGGTAGGTAGGGACCGCAAGCACACGTTGTGATACCACAGTTCACTCTTGCCCCACTTTTCATGCGCCAGCAAAAGATGACCTAAGGCAATATGCTAAGGCTAAGGCAATGCGGACCTCTGGGAATCTTTTGGCCTCTTGCCGCGATCTGGAAAACCTTCAGCCTTCTCCAGGTCCAACTCCAACCGCATCCCCCATCGTCACGTGCGGCGACCCCTCGAACATTTGAAATTCGCGGACCTCGCTGCCCTATTCTGATTCCAGCGAGCCTCTACATCGCCCCCCCCCCTGCCTCCTTCTCCGGGCACCGCGCCACTGGACCTCGGACCCTTCCACACACATTGCCACGCCAGCGCCTTCCATCCGCCGCCGACGCGGCCCGCACCAGTCAAGATGGCGGCACCAAAGATGACCAAGAACCAGATGCGCCGCGCCAAGAAGAAGGAGCAGAAGAAGGCACAGGCAGAGGTGAGTGCGCCGCTGCGGCCCCAACCCCATACTCTGAGCTCGAAGCTGACGGCGCCTGTTTCCCCCCCTTACCTACAGACCACCACCACCACCACAACAACGACACCCGCCGACTCGGCCGACGAGAAGCCGCAGGAGGCCCCCGCAGCAGAGACCTCGGCTGCCGACCTCGCCGTGAAAGATGGCCCCGGCGTGAGCGACACAGACGGACCCGACGGCTTCGATGTTGATGTCGAGACGAGTGATCCCGCCTTTGCGGAATTTGAAGACATCATGAAGCGGTTTGGCCGCGTCGCAGAGGACGAAGAGGCGCCAAAAGAGGAGGCCGTCTTTTTCGACCAGGACGACGACATCCCCAGCGAGGACGAGGAGACGGGCCAGCCGAAGCTGTCCAAGAAGAAGCGCAAGCAGCTCAACAAGCTGTCCGTGGCCGAGCTCAAGGCGCTCGTCAAGATTCCCGAAATCGTCGAGTGGCAGGACGTCTCGTCGTCCGACCCGCGTCTGCTCGTCCAGATCAAGGCCCAGCGCAACGTCGTGCCCGTGCCGCCGCACTGGTCCCTCAAGCGCGAGTACCTGTCGTCGAAGCGCGGCATCGAAAAGGCCCCCTTCCGCCTGCCCAAGTTCATCGCCGAGACGGGCATCACCGAGATGCGCGACGCCGTGCTGGAGAAGCAGGAGCAGCAGAGCCTCAAGCAGAAGCAGCGCGAGCGCGTCGCCCCCAAGATGGGCAAGCTCGACATTGACTACCAGCGCCTCTACGACGCCTTTTTCCGCTTCCAGACCAAGCCCGAGCTCACGCGCTTCGGCGAGGTCTACTACGAGGGCAAGGAGAGCGAGGTCGACTTTCAACACTTCCGCCCCGGCGACCTGAGTGACGCCTCCAAAGACGCCCTCGGCATCCCGCCCGGCGCGCCCCCGCCCTGGCTCATCAACCAGCAGCGCTTCGGGCCCCCGCCCTCCTATCCCACCCTCAAGATCCCCGGCCTCAACGCCCCGCCCCCGCCCGGCGGCTCCTGGGGCTTCCACCCCGGCGGCTGGGGCAAGCCACCCGTCGACGAGTTCAACCGGCCCCTGTACGGCGGCGACATTTTCGGCCTCGCCGGCCAGCCCGGCCAGCCCGGCGGCCCAGGCGGCCCAGGCGGCCAGCAGCAGCAGCAGCAGCAAGCGCAGCAG